TCGGGCTCTCCGGCGATGAGGACCAGAGCACAGCCAAAGGCCACAGCAGTCCAGCTCCCTCCGTGCGGTTGCGGGCTTGAGGGCGAGGGATCGGAGCCCGTGAGCGACCCTGAGAGGCTTGCTGATGTGTTTACGTCTCCACTTTGATGCCTTTTCCGAAAGGGGCACTTATCCATATACGGCCAGACGTTGTTTTGTTGATCTTTGCGATTTAAACGGTATGCTTTCCTTGGTTTCCCTTGACACAACCAAAAGGTACTCTCAACAAAACATCCCCGCGAAGATGGGTGGCCAGACTCAAAAAACGGTGGTTTCTCCTTGGTTTCCCCCACAAGAACCAAAGAAAAACACTCGTACAATAGATGACCCAAAAACAGACGTCGAAGCGGAAAAAAACTCCTCCGCAATTGGCTGCTTTTAAACAGCCGCCAAAGCGGGCCAGCGATTTGTGTGCGGTTCCAAATTTGGAACTAGTTTCCTGTGGTTTCTCACGATCCAGAAGTGGCCGCCTTTCAGCTCAAAACGCAAGAAGCGACTGCAAAATGGCCAAGGAGGCAGGTGTGTGTGTGTGTGCTGTTGCAGCAACAACAAAATATGTTTCGAATTCTCTTCTTCCCTCATATCTATTTCACATTTTTTAGCCGTGCATCTGGGGTAGGCTGGTCACTAATGATTCCTTTTCCTTTCCTCTTCTCCATGTTCTGCACTCACCCATTGACCCATCTATAACGAATATCTGATGGAGAAGACAAAAGAAAATGAGATGATATGATAGAGACTCCCGTTCGCAACCAATACAATCCTTCAAGTGAGGACAGGTAAGCCGCTAGTCGGTAGGAAGGTTGCGAACTTTAGATTCTCTCATTTCATTTACAAACCCATTATTCTACCTCTTCACTGAAAACGCTGCCGAGAAACACTACTCATCTTGCATAAAGAAGGTCAATCGGCTCTTTGCCTCCAAAAACCATGCACGCCCAGAAAGGCTAGCCAAGGCAAATCTGAGACACGATTGCCAATGCAATCAACCCCTCATCAGACCTCTGATGGTTGAAACATCCTCACAAGGCAGACATAAATCCAACCAAATAATGTTAACTTCGGATTGATCGGAGGATGCGGTCAAAGGAACCAATTTGCGGCTTGCCTTTGACTTGCCTCAAGAAGGACGAGACACACCAAGTTTGCCACCTCAGAGCAATGAAGGAACCGCTCCTCGCTGCCCTTGCCCCTCACGTGTAGCCGAGCGGCGCCACTCGTGGGACGTCGCCGTTTGCTGAAGCGGTAGTGCTTCGCCATCCAAGGTCTCACCATCCTAAGGTTTCCCAAAAAAGGCCGATCCATTTTGGGATAAACAGGATCCTCGAATCTTAGGGCTTCCGATCCTTGATAAACACCGGTTGCTTGGAGTCTTCGAGCGGCAATGTTCATTGGGACAATCCCAGGCCTCTCTGAAAGGACACCCCGCCATCCTTTCACAAAGTCGAAAGGGAAATGTCCAAATTTGGGACCCCTGGCAGTTGGCTTCCTTTGAGTAACTCGACACACAAAGCAAAATGAACGGTTCGAGCCTCTTCTGCTTGGCGCTGGCGATACCTGCTGTGCAAGCACCAGTGGTCGGAGATCTACGAAAGGGTGTGCATCTTTTTGAGGGTACCCTTTTTTGGGTTTAAAGGGAAATCAAAGGAAAGCCACAAAATGGTGGTCCCCCTATCTTCACACATACCCAAATGAGGCCACCCCTAGCCCAAACTGCAGCAAGGACAACCACATCAGCTCTGGAAAGACAGCAACGCTCCAAAAGCTTTTGATGTGTTGAAGCGGAAGCAAGTTCTCCGCCGCACAAATTCTGGAGCTGCCAGTTCCAGGGATGGGAAAGCAAATAGACCGAGACTACTGGATATGTTGACAAGTAGCAGCCACTTGTCTCTGGCCTCGCCTACGCGCAACTCCCGAGCGGCTGCGCTGCCGAGACAGGACGGCCTGTGGCAATGGTCACACATCCGCAATCAGAGACGTCTGGGGTGGATCGTGGCCTCAATAACCCTTTATGGACCTTTGTGAGCTTTTCTCACATTTCCTTATTCATTCTCACCCTCAAGGGACGGGGCTAGGCCTCTTCCTTACCTGCCCCTGCCAAAGTATCGTTGTCAAACTGGGCTCTGCGCGGGCATGTGTTTGTGTGCGTCTCTGTGAGTCGCCATGTGAGTAGGTCTGTGTCTCTGTTCTGCATCTTGCATCTGTGTCTGTGCGTCTGTCTGTGTGCGTGTGTGCACGCGTGCTGGTGTGCACGCTTGCATCCGTGCGTTCGTGCATCCGAGAGGGCGTGCATGCCCGTCGGCCAGTGTGCCTGCGTGTTGCCTGCTTGCGTGCAGGCATGCGTGCATGCGTCTATGCGGGTGCGCGGACATGTCGGAATCTGTGTGTTACAGGTGTGCATCCTTGCGGGCATGTCGAAATTTGAAGCAAAATGGCATTCGCAAATCCGATACATGCCAACACCATCATATCTGTATGAGCCAAAACCTGCCTGCCGCGTCAGCACCGTCACAAAGACTGCCGCGCTCAACTCCTAGACAGCAGGGTACCCTTGTCAGGTCAACACCAAAAGGAAAGCCACCATGTTGGGGGTCCCTTATTTAGGCATGTGTTTTTGAGGATACCCTTTTCAAGGTTGTTGTAACGGGAAACAAAAGGCCCGAAACTGAGTTGCTTCCCTTTGCGATCCCTCCACCGGGACATGGCAAAGTGCGCCCTCACCCGGCAATGCCTTGCATTCAGTAAGACACAGCATTCGACACGTCCCTGTCCGTCGCCACTGAGCAACGGCAAAAGCAGGGACTGCAAAAATCGTAGTCCGCAGTCTCCTTGAGGTCGCTGCGCTTCAGCAGTGCGGCAATCACTGCAGGCGTCCGCGTGTGCCTCACGCGCAGCAAAAGAGAGCGCGGCGAAGACGAGCTGGACACACTTATAATTTATATATATATATATATATGTACATAGATATATTAATAATAATAGGGAAAAAAATAGAAGAAAAACGCGGCACAGCCTCATGGGAGCTCTTTACCCTCTGTTCAAGATGAAGCTCTTTACCCTCTGTTCAAGATGGAGCTCTTTAACCTTGTCATCCAGGACGCTCCCCACATCCCCACCACCACTTGCCCTCGGCCCCCCGCCTGTCCAGCGGCAAAGGGTCCATGCCGTGATACCATGGCGAGGAGAAGCTGCCCACGCGGGGCGGGTGCCTCGACATGCCGGGGCCTGTCGCTTTCGTCCTGCGGGCCTCGTCGCTTCTGCCTCTCACAAGGAGGGGCGAAGCGGAGGTCGCAGGGCACGAGGTCACAGCAACTGCTGGCCGGGCACGCGCGTCACAATTCGGTGGAAAATACAACCAAATGTATGTCTGGAGGTTCACTCGGTATTCGGGTGGTGCGCACGCGCCCTCTCGCGCTCCGAGCCCAAAGGAGGCAGCAGGTTTGGCACAAGGCCACGGGGTGCGGTTGGGCGGGTTGGGGCGAGGGTGGGGAAGGGGGGATGCATCGTCAAAATCCTCTGGCTGACCCACAATGTGCTGGGGGGCTCTGGGAGCGTTGGTGCTTGACATTTGAACACAAAACATCTGAAGTCAGCATAAACCAGCATCAGTCGCAGGTTCCCTAGATGCTGGGTGCTTGTCACCTTGTGCCAAATGCGTCATCCAAATCCTTGTCGTTCGAATCATGTACCCAAGCTTGCGCGCTCTTGCTCAAATAAATGTCTTCCATCGCGTGTTTCTTGATCAGTTGGCTTCACACATAGCGGTTCCTCTTGACCGCGGGTGCCTCATGTTCGGCATGGATGCTCATTAGGGAATATATGTTTATCAGAATTTAGCATGTGGGGCTTTCTCCAACAATTCGGGACACCCCCAAATGGGTATGCTCGAAATGAAAAGTGTGTGCTTGGGCAGCGGAAAGTGGCGGCAAGGAGTGGAGTCGAAAGTTGTCAGGAGCAGCGGAAACAAGGACAACACCGGTCCGGTTCCTGAATGGCCAGTCGCCATTTTGGATGGCAATCGTCCTTTGATTCTTTCTTGCGTGACCCCTCTTCTGCTTGAGCAAGATAAAGACAAAATGGCTAAAACTGGACTGGAGACTGTTTTTGGGACATGTTCAAAAATAATGCAAAGGGAAACCACCCAAGGGAGGGTCGATCCCCTCATGGATTCCGCAGCCACACCCGATGCTTAAACGTAATGCTAGAAGCCAGCGGTCTCCTGGACGCTCCAACAGTGGCACAATCTCACTGCGGGTAAAAATGGAATTGCGCCATCTGTCCTCCAACTCTGTCCGGCCCTTTTTTGCTTGCCACCGGCTCGACGCTTCCAACCAGAGGCATCCCCATCAAAGGGCAGCTAATCTGCAATTGCCCCTGGAAACGAAGCAATTCCATCTAGATTTATAGATGCATTACCTACATACATTTGTGTGCATGTACATGTCCAGCATACAGCACCATACCATACCATGTCATACTATACCATGCAAGCCATACCATACCGCATCACACGATATCATACTAGAACATGCAAACCATGCGACGCCATACCGTGCTATAGTGTATCATGCAAACCATACCACACAATGGCATACTGTACCATGAAGGAGTGTATGCATGACACACTGCTTTATGTTGTGGTAAATAACATTGCACCGTGTTGCATTGCAATTCAGTACATCACATTGTGTTAATTTGCATTAGATCACATACAGTACCGCTACAATTCGTCGCATAGCATCAAATGCAATTGCAGTACTTGTATTACATTGCGCAACATTACACTGACTTGCATTGTTTAAGATGTTATATGGCATTGGACTGCATTACATTCCATCACCTTAAACGCCATGTGATGGCATGACATTAGATGACATCAATTTACATCGGATTGCATGACATCACAGAAAGAATACGTGACATACACTACATGCCGATACATATCAATATATAACTATATGCTCAGCAGAATTATGCGAGGAAGCCTCTTTTGCGAGTGAGCTCGCTTGAGGTTCCCCTGCTTCTTTCCAGGGGCTCTCTCTCTCTCTCTCTGCATCTCTCATCCGCTGGACCTGCACTCTGTTTGAGTACAGTATGGTCACACCCACGCCTGTGGCCAACGCCATCCAAGCGCAAGCTCTCAGAGATGGCGCAAATCACCTCCGTCCTCCTTGCCTCCTTGCCTCCTTCCCTCCTTCCCTCCTCTCCCTGGCCTGTCTCAGTGGTGCTTGTGTGCCTCAGATTGAAAGTCGCATCCGATAACCCAGAACCCTGCGGGGTGCAACCACAGTATCCTGGGCGGCAAATGCCGACTCCCAGAAGTCTACATTAATCACTACTTGCCTGAAATCAGAAATTGCCAACCTTCCTCACAGCACGAAATCGCTCGCGCCCCGGGATTCTGTGAGCGCACGAATAGCGCAGAGACGTGGAACCCATTCCCCCCCCCCCCCAGGCCATCCAGTTTTGAAGAAAGAAAAGGATTGATGTTTTGATGTTGGGGAAAAAAACTTGGATGAGGTGGACAAAAGAAAGCACCAAGCAACCCGCAGTCCGCCGAGCCGCGAGGCGCCGGAAGGTCAGGTGCCGGTGCCCGTGGTGCCTCTTCACAGCCTTCCGCCCGGTTTGTCGGATTTGGGCGCCCCAAAAAAAGGCGGCAAAAGAGAAGCCGGGCAACCACAGGATTCGGATGATGGGTCAATGTCGCCAGCGGGTGTTTTGTTTTCCATGATGTTTCTGCCCGCTTTTGAAACAGCACCCTTCTTCTAGAACCGGGTTTCAAACCACAAGACTTCCATGGTGATGCACAAAGCACCCCAGAAGGGAGGTATAAGAGACCAGCAGGGGTTGAAGACAGAAGGTGGCGCAAATCTCAGCAAACTCCCATCAGCTGTGTCACCGGGGCTGCAGCAAAATGTCCAGCTTCAAAGCAGGTTGCCAGTAGCCACAGGAAACAAATGCAAGGCATGGCACACAGCTGTTCCACAGGCCTATTTACCGTCTGAACAACAAACATGGAAATGCAGAAACTACCTGCCCATGCATTCAAGCTCACCAAATTACAATTGCGGAATGGGAGCTTCTCCGTTTCTGCCCCTTGGGCTGCACTATTACCTTCCCACCAACAAACGTGGAAGTCTACAGACGCTGTTGGAAGACTGCTTTCCTTGCACATATACACCGCGAACGTTGCTGGGAACCCACAGTGGGTCGCTGAAAAAAATCGGGAAAAAGAACTGCACCCCCTTTCTTTATTGCGGCACTCATCCCTTGGCTCTCTTCTTGAGTGTGTGCGCCTTTAGACCCCGGAGCAGCTCGACAACTCGATGGCCGGCCAGGGCATCTTGGCTGCCCCCAACTGCGCCAATCCCCATCGCTTCATTTTTTCTTGCACCCTTTTGTTCTGCCAATTCCCTGTTCTAGGAAGACAAACATTTGGAAGGGTCCTGCCAAAAGAAATCGCGCAACATCACTTGTTCAGCCATTTATTTAAATTAGAACCCAACTGGGTTGAAACCATTCTGATGGTGTTCTGCGAAATAATCAGGAACCGTTGCCGCTTGGGCAGGCCATGGTGCTACATCTGCTTTGACAAAGCAATGGAAGCTTGTCTGAACTCTGTGGGGAAGCTTGCAATGATCCTTCTGCAAGGCGAAGCAGATTCTGACCACTGAAAAGCGCTGACCATTCCTTGGGACGCTTAAAAGGCAACAGGAAATGACAACTTGGTGGGACTGCACAAAGGTAGTTGATTCCTCTTGGCTGCTCTGCCCACCAAGAAGAGACAACTGTATTCTTCCAGAAGGCTAGAATATGTTTTGGGAGGTCAAATCAAACGGACTTGTTGCTGGTCATGTAATCTTGCTCGCCATGTGTTTGTTGCAAATGATTGCATATATACATGTATCAATGCTTTTCAAGGAACCTGATCCTATGGCTGCCATCCCACTGAAAGGTATTTGTTTTAGCAAACCAAAGAGCAAACTCGCCGCCATCAAAATTGTCTTCTTGTTGAAGTGTGTTTGGAACCCCTACCGATTTGTCCAGATCAGACTTTTCCCGACTTTTCTTATTCAAACCGGGGTTGGCATCACTGAGAACCTGTTTGCTTCAACGGAGCATTCCAAGCTTCTGTCTACATGGTGCAAATATGTACATGTCACTCAACACATAATACTTGAACATGAAGACAAACAGCCAGAGGCTTCCAACCAAAAAACACCCAAGGCGACCATTTGCGTTCCCCAACGGCTCGCCTTGGTCAGGAGTAGCATGGCGCTGGTCTTGGCGCTGCAGTGGCTGGTGCTCAGGCCTGAGACCTGAAGGCGCCAAAGGAGAGAGTCGCGCTCCAGGCCAAGCTGATGTTGACAAAATGTCGTTTGGTGCGCAAAGTCACACAATCCCTTTCGAGGTGGGGGATGACGAATAAATGCGGGAAGAAGTTCATCCGTGTCGTTGGGCGTCTTGTCCAAGCCGTTTGGGGGGTCTTTTGTGGCCGCCTTTGGAGTCGATTCTTGAATCGGTCCGTTGGACAGGAGCGTTTTCTATGAGTACCCCTTTTGGATTGCCTTAAAGGAAAACAAAAAGGACCCTTTTTTGCGGGGGGTGACTTCATGTCATTCCGATACACCATGAATACTGACCGTGGCTCACATGAGAATCCCCCGAATGGTGCAAGTTCATTGCGGATGGCAACCCAACTAACCTGCTGTGCTGTTTCATGGCTGGACGAACATCTCTGGTGGCTCTTCCACGGTAGAGTTCTTCACAGGTCTCGCAGTGCGGGCAGATAAAAAAGGGAGACAAAGAGCGGGGAATACAACTGGGGCCTGGCTCAACTTGTTTTGGCATGTGCATTTACATGTATCAATACAAATGACTGCTTTAGTGACCCTCTGTGAGCCTGCCGGTCCTTATTTCCTCAAAACCTGCAAAATCCAGCTGGAAAACCAGAGCGGCTTCTCTGCAGAGCCTCCAACGGACCTTCTGGAAAAAATGTGATCAAACCAACATTCTGAAGGCATACCGTCCTCAACCCACTTTCTGACATCACCTTGCAACCGGGCCCGAGCATTGCTAGGCCGACTCAGGTCAGCCCATTGGAGCTGAGGCAAAGGCGCAGAAGTAGGTGGTCAGCTGCTCCGGCATCAGGGCCTTGTCCACCTTGGAGTACATGTGCTCCTTGAAGTACCTGGTGGCTCGGTTACATGGCGTCGCAACCTGGCCAACCCACGAAAGCAAAAAAGAACAACAATGATACGACAAATGCGACACTAATCTAACATGTGTGTGTGTGTGAATGTGTATATATATATATGTGTGTTTATGTTGCGCATTTTATATATTACAACGTGTTCTCACCACAGGAAGGCTGGAAACAACACTAGTCTTATTCCGCAAATAGTACCCTCAACAAAAAGCCAGTTGGCGGCTGTGCTTTGTTGAGGGACGCACCGGTGTTTTGGGGGGAACCCATACTTCCAAGAAGGGTTTTTGGCATGTGTTTAGGGTTTTCATTTTTTCTTTTCGTTTGTTCTTCTTCTTTTTTTCGTTCTTTCGTCTTGGCCAGTAAAATGTCGTATTTTACTGCTTTGTCTCACGTACTTTACGCTAGCCCGTCTCCCACCAACATCCCCAGCATCACCAGCAAATTGTGGGTAAAACAATCTAAAAAGTAGCGGGCGGGTTGACGGGGTCGAAAGAGTGATGATTCAAGTAGGGGTGCAATTCAATCGCCGTAACAAATCTAAAAAGTAGCGGGGGGGGGGGGGGAAGAAGTGATGATTCAAATAGGGGTGCAATTCAATCTCTGCAAAAAAGTCTAAAAAGTAGCGGGGGGTTGGGGGGGGGGGGGCGGCAGACTCCCACCCCCATGATGTTCCAAGAATTGATGATTCAAATAGTGGTGCAATTGAATCTCTGTAGAAAATCTAACAAGTGGCGGGGGGGTTGGGGGGAAGGCAGCCCCCCCATGATGTTCGAAAAAGTGATGATTCAATTCGGGGTGCAATGATTCAAGAAAGGGTCCAATAGAAAGTAAAAAGCAGCGGGGGGTTGGGGTTGATTACATGGATTACATATATACATGCATAAAAATAAAGAACACTTGCCGGAAAGTGCTGAGGATGCGGGAAGCCAAAGCCAAAACAGCAATGAAAGGGTGCAAAAGCCAAAAAGCCGCCGGAGAGGAACTGGGAAAGCAGAGGATGCGAAAAGCCAAAAGCCAAAAAGCCAGAAAAAGCCGCATAAACCAACAAGAAGCCAAAAAGCCAAGAAGCCGACAAGCCAAAAAGCCAAGAAGCCAAGAAGAAAAGAAGCCAAGAAGCTAAGAAGCCAAGAAGCCAAGAAACCAAGAAGCTAAGAAGCCAAGAATCCAAAAACAAAAATGGAAAGAGGGTGGAGGAACCCGGCAAGAAATCTCTCCCTGGTTTTCCAATGGCAACGAGCGCAGCAAACGGACCCCCCCCAATCACCCAACCCCCGCAAAACAACACCTAACTTGAGTTGTGCCTTTCACTGGGTCCGTTGAGGTGGAACATCTTGAGGGATTCTCAAAGCATGCTTAAGTCTCGGTTCTTCAAGCCACCATGCTTGGGTGATTTGAGGATGTCCCTTTAGTAATTTAAGTGGGCCCAGCTTGCTGGCGTTGTATTGGGTTTCGCTTTAAGAAACGCCCACTTCCGGCGTGGCTTGCTGACCCTCCGACGGGCGAGCCAGCATAGGAACTGGGACTCGTAATTTTCGGGGGGTGGTCCTCCCTGTTCTCAGCAGGGAGATTTGACTTTAAAGGGGGGTCATTCAGCCATGTTTC